TTCTCAGATAAGACATCCCAAGCATAGCAGATGCTATGAGGGTCCATTATCTGTGTTTTTATCCTAATTATATTCCCTCACACAGAGAGGTTCAAAGGCAGCTCAGGACACTCCACTCAGTACTTCAGTGAAACCCTTCTGAACAGCAAATATTAACACCATACACTTACAGATACATCAGAACAGTGCCACCCATGACGAGGAGGAGTCTGCTGATACTGGAGTAGAAATAGACCATGTTGACAAAAACATACAACAGTGTTGCTGAGTAGAGCCAGTCCAACCAGTCTCGATTGCCACCCTCCTCATCTTCCTCCATGAGGGGCCCCCCTTGGGCATTCATCCTCAAGTTCTGGTCAGCCACTGCATTAACCTGAGCAGCAACATTCTGGTTTCCAGGCTGGTTTTGGGCAGGAAATGGGTCTGGGAGAGGAGCTGGAGGTGTCACTGGTGCCACTGGTATCTCCTGAGAATGCCGTGCACGGGATGGGTCAGCAGATGCAGCAGTAGAAGCCAAGCTGGAACCAGAGAACAAAGCACAGGATGAGGCTTAGTCAAATCCTCTGACTCCACACAGGCCCTGTGTGTGAAAGCCTCTCCATCTTTAGTAGTAGAGTCAGATCACATGCAAGTAGAAAACATTAAGTTTTAGTTCCACCCATAACAATTGTACAGTGACTCCAACAAATCAAACCAGATACCCTCCCCTTTATCAACAGTAATGTCAATACTTCACAAAAACAATTTAGAGCAATCTGCAGGTAGTCTAAAAGCCTTCTGCAAGTCTCAGCTTGACCTATCACTGATGTCCAGCCAATGCTGTATGCACATCAAGCAGTAACAAAAAAAAAAAAAAAAAAAAAAAAAAGAACAAAGGCTCATCAGCAGGGTCAGATTTACTCCAGACACTTGCCCTCCCAATGAAGGGACAGACAGGCAACAGGCAAGATCCAGAACCACTGCCCTGAGCAGCAGCAGAGCAGCACAGTTAGGGGTACAGGCCCAAAACATTCACCACAAGTGGTGAAAAAGTCTCCAAGCAGCATCAAAAGAGGAAGAATTGCCTGGAGCTCTCCAATTTCTTGCATTGCAGTTTCTACTTCCTACTGGCAGCTTGGAATAGAACACTTACTATTGCATGTAATACTGTCTTGCATAAATCTGCTGGAACCAGGACATCTGAAGCATGCTGTAGGTTGTGTAAGCAGAGAAGCCAGGAGCCATGCTCTGGAAGGGATGCTGAGTTGTTTCCAGCCTTGGTCAAAATTTGAACACATTCATTAGCAAACATTGGACAAGAGCAATTTATTACAGAACAATGTAAATAGCTTCTGCCATTTTGTGCATCCAAATACAAAATTAATTCTTCCTTCTAGACACCTGTTTATCCACATGAACAAAGGAAAGACTCTTCTTCCTAATTAGCCAAGCAGTGCATTTTCTTTTAGATATCACATCCTTGGAAGTGTTCAAGGCCAGGTTGGACACAGCAACCTGATCCAGTGGAAGGTGTCCTTCATGGCAGAGGGTTGGACTAGATGGCCTTTAAAGGTCCCTTCCAATCCAAATTATTGCATGCCCACTAAAGCTTTTATACAAAGCCTCATCATACATGGCCCATGGTCTATGGACTCATGGCAATATATATGGCATAAGGAGCTGGCATCAACACAAACAAACCACCTTAAAAATGTACATAAAATTATATTTACCCATTACTGGCATCTGCTGAAGAGTGGACACCTGAAGAGCTCCTCAACCTTCCACCATCTGAGGAAGACACATTTGATTCCTGCCTGGCTTCTGATGGTAACTTGGGCTGATCAGCTTTAACCTACAGACAGCAGGGCAGCCAGTGAGGTTTACTCAGGATACCACAAACACTTCATGCAAAAAGTCTGCAACCACAAAGTATGCCCTGGTTTTAACTGCACAGCACCTCTCAGTGCTGCCCCTGCCTTGGGCACCACACCACAAGCACCTCTGTCAGTATTTAAACCTCCTGGAACAAAATGACTGGGATGCAAAACTGATACGATGCTACTCCTCCCTTTCAAAAGATCTATACTGTATTTGTTACTTCTTAGGCACACAGTGTCCATCTGGCTATAAAAACATGAAATACAAAAGACATTTTGGCTTTTTCTTATGGTAAATTTGTACTTGCACAAACTGCTGGACACAGCTCAAGGGCTGTCCTGTGGTGAAATATCTGACACCCAGCCAAAGCTGGCCGACATCTAGCAACTATTCAGTGTCCATCTGGCTACAAAAATACAAAATACAAAAGACACTTTGGTAAATTTGTACTTGCACAAACTGCTGTACACAGCTCAAGGGCTGTCCTGTGGTGAAATATCTGACACCCAGCCAAAGCTGGCCGACATCTAGCAACCAGCAGGCATGGGTAGGGTTAGCTCACAGTTCTTTAATGGGCAACAGGAACACACCTCTAGAAACCTTTGCCCAGCCACTTTAAAGAAAGATTGAGTTTTGGCCATTTGTACTTGAGACCAGCCCATCCTGAGCTCAAGCACTAAGGCTGAGCCTGCAGAGAGGAAGCCAAAGATGAGTCACTAATGGGAGCAGCTGAAGTTTCTGCAGTTCTCAGCCTTCTGCCCTCCCCACAGAGATCAGAACCACTTCCCTCCACTTCTCTTCTGACCACAAGCTCAGTTTGTCCAAGCATGCCTGGGACACAGCAAATCATCATCTATTTAATAAAACTGAATCTGGAAGGCATTTCTCCCCTGAGCAGCACATCACAACTAGATCTTTCTTATCAAATACCATGAGAATCTTTACTGATGAACTCTGGAGGCAATTTTTTTACTCAGCTTAATCCAAATACATTCTTACACTCCCAAACAAATTATCACAAACAGTGCTGCTGCACTAATAGGGAAACCTGCAGTAAAAGGGAACTTTAAAATGGTCATCCAACACTTCTTGTTTTCAGTTACAAGCCCAAGACTCAGAGTTAACTTAAGTTTCATTACCTCTGATTTGGTTCCTTGCATACTTGGAGGAGTCTTGAAGTTGTATACCAAATGAAGAGCATGCAGCTCCCCATGCTGAAATATAAGGGAAGATCTGTTAAAAAAAAAAAATCCCTTCTCTGGATTTATTCCAGGATGTTATAAAAGACACTTTTTTATACCTTTGGCAACAATTCTCCCAGACAGAGGTGATCAAGCAGCAGCTTCCCAGAATAAATCAGCTTTTGGTCCTCTTCAGGCTTTGAAGAAAGAAAACAAGGAATAGGATTACTTCCTGTGCCAAGCATTAACCAACACAGCTCACAGCTGGAGGGGAAAGGCACGGAGCTTGGAGCATTCCACATACTAAGGTGCACATCTAAATTCAGCTGAAGTTATGAGAACAACTGAATGCCCAAGTGGGATATTACCAAGGTGCAAGCCTGCATAAGAATCCAAAGTCCCTTGGGCAAAGAATTTGGTTACGTGCTATATCTTTTACAGTCCCAACAAAAACATTTGTATTTCTTAAAAACAGAAGTTTGGAGTTCTATCTAATCTGATCAGCACAGGGGTGGTGTCGAGTAAAGCTGTTACACCCCCTCCAAGGTGAGCCAGCTGCTCCCCACCAGGAGCTGTCCCAGAGCAGCTGGTGGGGCACACGGAGCCTGTTTCTGGCTGGTCACCAGGGAAAAGCACGGCAAAGGCACGGGAACCAGGCCTTCTCCCAAGCAACCAGTGACAGCACAAGGGGAAGCAGCTTCAAGTTTGCAGCTGGATATTACAGAAAACTTCTTCACTGAAGGAATGGTTAAAGATTGAAATGGGCTACCCGGGGAAATGGAGTCGCTATCCCTGGAAAAAATGAGCGCAGACACGGCACAGTGTGGCTTGGCAGGCAGTGTCGAAGGCTGAGCTCGCAGCTCTGTCCCCAGCTGATGGCAGCCCCGGGGCAGGCACAGCGCGGCGCTCCGGCCGCACCGCGCGGGGTGCCGCTCACCGGCCCGGCCGGGCGCGGTGCCAGCGGGCGCGGCCGTCCCCGCACAGCCGCGGGCCGCGCCGTGCCGGGCGGGCGGTTAATGATTAACAAACCAGCCCCACGGCAGCCCGAGTGCGGCTGACGCAACCGGGAGCAGGGCAGCCCGGGGGGCTGCTACCGGCCCCGGAGCCCCGCGGCAGCTGCCGCCGCTGCCCCGCGGGGACCCGGCCAGCCCCGATCACCCAGCCAGCCCTCATCAGCCACACACCCTGCGCGGCTGCGCTGTACGCACTCACCGGCGCGTCGGGCAGCAGCCGGCGCAGCTCGGTCTTGAGGCGGCGCACGGTCCAGGCGGGCTGGGCGCTGAGGCGGAGGTCGCGGTGCCGCTGCGCGGGGCTCCGCACCAGCAGCGGCAGCGGCTCCTCCATGCTGGGCGCCAGGCGGGCGGTGATTGCAAAAGCGGCCCGGCCAGAGCTTTATAGCGGCCCGCCCCGCCGCAGGGCCGCGGTGGCTGCGGCTCATTGGCCGCGATGAGGGCGGGGGCGGGGGCTGCCACGTGGGCCAATGGGACGGAGCCTCGCGTGCAGGGCCGTGAGGAAGCGGGGGAGCTGATTGGGTGGTGCCGGGTGAGGGGCGGGGCTATGCGGTCACCACGGAGACCGTGCCCCGCCCCGCCCGGGCTCTGAGGGGCGGCGGCCATGGCCGGGCCGGTGCCGCTGTCCTGCGTCCGTCTGTCCCTCCTTCCACCGCAGCACCCCCGGCACCAGCACCCCTGGTAGCGATCCCTTGCTTCGCCTTCCCTCTCCCCTGGCCCGCCGGAGCAGCACAGCTGTGTGGAATCCGCACGTGCTGCACGCCCAGCCTGATCCGGGTGAAACATCCCCTTTTTCCCTATGGATATTGTCCCCAATGTGTGTAGCTACCTCAGCAGGTGTGCTGCGGGCTTTGTGGGTACAGCACAAACCGTACTTCTGGGTGGAGCCAAAAGAAGCGTGCGGAGATGCTGGGGAAAATTAATAATTCATGACATTTTTACTAACAAAAAAAAAAACAAACAAAAAAAAAAAGTGGACCAGCAGCTTTCCCCTTGCCCATCTTGCTGAGAGATGCGATGCAGCCCGTGCAAGGCCCGTGGTAATGATGCTGATGCACCAGGAGGGGGTTTGCGCGTCCTTCCAAACGCAGCTGCCGGAGCGTGAGGCGTCGCAGTTATCTCTCGGGTTATCGCCAGGTGTTTATTTACTCTGCGTGCTTCAGGAGCTGCTCAGTGCTCCTTGGCAGCCAGACCTGTTGCCCAAAGGCACGGGTGAGTCCGCAGCCAGGATAGATTCTGCAGCCGGGAAAGGCGCTCTGCCGCGGGGATTCATCATCGCGGGGAGAGCCGAGCCCAAGGGCAGCGCTGCCCTGAGCCCACAACGCAAAATCACCCAGGAATGAGCTGAGCCGAGCCTGGCTCTGCTCGGGTGAAGCCTCCGCAGCGGCCGGGGTACGATCTTGTGAGGATGGAGAGTTCATGGGAGCCCATTCCTGCCTCGCAGTCACATCCCGGGGCTGCACTCCTGCGGCTCTGTGCGTGCTGTCCCCGCACTCCTGCGGCTCTGTCCGTGCTGTCCCCGCACTCCTGCGGCTCTGTGCGTGCTGTCCCCGCACTCCTGCGGCTCTGTCCGTGCTGTCCCCGCACTCCTGCGGCTCTGTGCGTGCTGTCCCCGCACTCCTGCGGCTCTGTCCGTGCTGTCCCCGCACTCCTGCGGCTCTGTCCGTGCTGTCCCCGCACTCCTGTGGCTCTGTGCGTGCTGTCCCCGGGAGGGCTCGCTGCCCAGGTGGGCTTTGCCTCCCCGACTCCTGCTCTGTGTCCCGCCAGCCCCAGGAGACGCTGCCAGAGCTATTTGCTGCTCTTGCTCCCTCAGCACAGATCGTGATCCCCATCCCTCGGCGCCTGCTGACGGTGGGGAAAGACAAACACAGTGTCCAGGGCCACCCCTGCCATTGCCAAGGTGACTTTGCTGCTCGCTGGGTTGCAGCCTTTGTTCAGAGCACCAGGCGAGTTCCCGTGGGTGGCAGGGACAGGGTAAGGCCGTGCAGGTGTTGGAGTGGAACCAGGATCAAGGACTCTGTGTGTTTTATCTGGGACTCCCTGTGCTGCTGCTGTAGCCACAGCACCGATCCTGCCTCGAGCTCCTGTGCTTCTCTTTCATCACAGACAAGAGGGGCAGAGCTCAGCTGGGCTGCTTTCTGCTCATTCCATGTCTGAGCCATTGCTGGGGAAAATGCCTGCTCACTGGACAAACTTACCTGAATCCAGCACAGACCTGGAGGAACAACCTCCTGAGGCAGTGGAGTGCTGAAGCCCAGCAGCCCCCCTCCATGTCTGGGGGTGCTGGAGCCCCAGAGAGCCAGGCCCTTGCTGCCCTCACCCACAGCAGCCAAGAACTGGTGGATCTGGGGTCAGTGGACACATCTGGACATCAGGTAGCACATGCTCCAGTTCCAGAGGCTGCTTCAGAGCTCCTGGGACTGAGGCAGAACAAACGCCCTGATACTGCCTGCTTAGCTTAGCTCACTCTGTGGCAGCAGATAAGGGGCCACAGCAAAACCAGAAGGTGTGACCAGCACATCACCCCACTGTCCTGCTGAACAATTAACTCCAATTTACCAAAATTGGAGATGAAGGGCTGCAAGCTGCTTTTGTTGCCTGCGTAAATATTAACCATGGTGTAAATCAGGATTATCTCTCTGAACGCAACACAATTACTCTGTTAAAAAAAAACAAACTAAACTGGGGGGGCTGAGTGGGTATTGCTGATGAGTTTACAGCTCTGTTTGTGGTCAGGCTGGTTTTCATGGCGTGGCAATCTCTTGGCACAGCAGGAACAGCGGGAGGAGAATTTGCCAGCACATGAGGAGATGCCCCACGGTCTCACAGCCTGGCGTCTTCCTTTGCTCACCCAGGCACAGTGACACAAGGGACGAGCCTGCCAGGAGCCACAGAGCAGCTAACACAGACCTGGTGCTGGAGGAATGCCGAGGTGTGATGCAATTTTGTCCTGACCAGATGTTGCTCCCTGGGCCAGGACAGGGCAAGGATCAAAGGGCAGCAGAATCCAGACAAGCCCAGCTGATTCTCTGGGCTTGGGTTGATATGTTTATTCTGTTAGAAGCACTGTGCTTGCTGGGTGTCTGGCTTTAAAAACTGCTTCATGGCGCTGCTGTCATGGCCCCTTTGGCTCCAAAATTCCTCAGAGTCCATGAGCAAGAGTCTGGTTTTGTTCAGGCTCTGGTGACCCTGGAAGGAGCTCACAGTGTGTTCTGGCATCGCTGGCAGAGCTGCACTGCAGCGGGGTCTGCAGGGAAGGGCTTCTCTGGCTGTCCCTGAGTGTGTCTGTGCCAGTTCTGCCAGGCACATCCCATGGGCGTCTCCTGTGGACACAGCCTGGCAGCACCGAGGAGAGGTGCTCTGGCTGCACACCCTGGCAGCCTGGTGCTGGGACGGGCATGGCGAGGCTTTGCTGCACACCCGGTGAACTTGGTGTTCACTCAGCTGCTCCACTGCTCAGTAAAGCAAATCATCCCCAAAACAAAACCTTCCCTGGCCCACGCTGCTCTGGGGCAGCATGAAACTTCCCCGCCAGACAAGGGAGAAAAGCCAGAGCGAACCAGGAGGTGAGGAATGAGGGACATAGGTGGAAAACGTCGCCTGCTACCAGGATTGCCTCTGCCAAAGGCCACCACACCGGTGGCGTGGGAAGCCGGCTCCCGGCATGGGGAAATGCAGGGATATTCCCGGGCGGGGCCGGGGCTTCCACCGGCGACACTCGCGGGGACTCCGTGCAGATGCTGGCCGCGTGCCGGAGCTCGGTGTCCCCAGAGAGGGGCCGCCGCTGGGTTTGACGTGTCGCTAATGATGTTCCTGACAGCCATGGATGCCCGAGGTTACCGGCGCGGTGCCCGGTGCCGTCCCGGCGCGGCGGCGGCCGGACGGGGAGCGAGCTCGAGCAGACGGGGCCGATTTGGAGGGGACTGGGCTGGAGACGGGCTTGGGGACGGGGACCGGGACGAGGCTGGGGGTCCCGCCGCCCTCCCGTCCCACCCCCGTTTCCACGGCGACGTTGTCAGCAGCCGCCGGGCCCCGCCCCGCGCCCCGCCTGGGCCAATGGCGCGGCGGCGCCCGGCCTGCCCGCCGGTGACGTCATGGCCGGTGAAAATCCCCCGTGGCCGCGGGAGCGGCGGTGGCGGCGCGGCCCCGCGGCCCGGCGCGGCCCGCACCATGGCCAAGCACCACCGCACGCCGGCGCGCTCCGCCGAGCCCGTCATCGAGGTCAAGAGCAAGGTAAGCGCCCGCCGGCCACGGGGCCGGTGATGCCGATGCCGATGCCCGCGCCGGTTCCGCCGGGTCACGACCGAGCGCGTCGCCCCCGCGCCGGGCAGCGCACGTGGGGTGGCACCGCGCAGCGGGGAGCGGCGCGGCAGCCAGGCCGTGCGGGCTCTGGCTCGGCGCGGCCGTGGGAACGCCGCGGCGGAGCGCTCGCCAGATGCGCAGGGCGCCGGTGCGCCGTTCCGGCAGCCCCGCCGGTGCGGGGTGGCCCCGCCGGTGCGGGTGTGCGGGGTGTGCGGTCACCCCGGGGACACACCTCGCCCAGATGTGCACTCGCCCAGATGTGCGTGCTCGCCAAGGCGCGCTCGTCCCCGGCTATGCCATCACCCAGATGTGCGCCCCCAGCAAGGGACGAGCCCCTGTCTCGCCTCCAGATGTGCACACCTGCATGACTGTGCGCTCGCCCAGCTGTGGTCTCCCGCAGACGTGTCTGCTCATCCAGATACGTGCTCACCTGGCACACCCTTGCCCAGATGTGCGCGGTCGCCCAGATATGCACCATTGTCCACCTGTGCCCACCCACCCACGCCTGTGCTCGCCCAGACGCGTGCACTCCCTTCCTGCACCCTTATCCAGCTGTGCGCTCGCCCAGCTGTGCCACCGCCTGCCCGGGACCCCCGGCAGGGTGCAGGGTGCCCTCCTTCCCAGGCCGTGGTGGCCACCGCCTGCCCCGACAGCTGGGGTGTGACCCCCGCGGGCAGCGCGATCCTCGCAGCGCTCCTCAGCCTGTTCTTAATTGGCTTCCCGTTCGTCGTGACGGAAGGAGGCATTAATTAGCGCTGTTGCTCACCAGGTGCTACGGCAGCGCCCGTGTTGCAGGGAAGGGCCTCCCGGCAGCACGGAGTCTGGCACGGCTGGTGGTACGGCCAGAGGGTCCTTCCTCTGCCGCGGGGCCGTTTTTTGCCCCATCATTTCAGAAAAACGGCTTCCCTCCTTTTACTTTGTTTTTGGGACGGGCTCCTCCTGACTGGCTCTGCCCGCCCTGGGGCAGCTCTGTGTGGTCCCCTGCCTGCATCAGTCCTGCCAGCCTGCCCAGAGTCACCCTCTTCCTCCTCTTCCTCGTCCTCCTCTGCAGTTCGACGCTGAATTTCGCCGCTTTGCCATGAAGCGCTCCAGCGCCGGCAGCTTCCAGGACTTCTACCAGCTGCTGCAGACAGTGCACCAGATCCCGCGGGTGGACGTGCTCCTGGGCTACACAGACATCCACGGCGACCTCCTGCCCATCAACAACGACGACAACTACCACAAAGCCCTGTCCTCTGCCAACCCCCTCCTCAGGGTCATCATCCAGAAGAAGGGTAAGCGGGGCACTGGACGTGTCCTCCTGCCAAGAGAGATGGGCAGTGCTGCTGGTTCCACCTTTGGACTGTGCCAGCAGGGCCTGGCTGGTCACATACCCTCCAGCCACTGCTTTGGGGGATGGATGTGGAGATGGTGGCACTGGGAGGCTGCCAGAACCCTGCCAGGGCTCTCCCTGGCAGCTGAGGGCACCTCCTCAGCCCAGCCCATGCGACTGGTGAGCAAAGACAGATCCTTGCAATTCACCCCTTTGAAGTTTTCCAGCCAAGCTTGCATGGGCTCCCAGATAACACCCGTGTTACTCCCGTGAGCACTGTGCCAGCAGCCCCATCCAGCTTCCTGCCCTGAGGAGGTAACAGCCATCCTTTTGGCAGAGCTCTCAGTGTGCCAGGTGCTGCTGGATTTTCAGTGTTGAGAAGAGGCTTGGTGCCTCTTCCTGTCAGACCAGGGGTTTGCCCTTACCTTAGTGGCATATTCCCAGGGATCCACTTCTTTGACCAGGTACACCTGAGAGCATTCTGATAGCAGCATCCTGGTGAGGATGAAAGCCTCCAAGTGACAAACACTCAGTATTTCTCCTGTGTGCAGGGAAAACAAGCCCATCCCCTTCCATTCAGTTTAGTAGCACCGAGGTTTTCTCTTTCATAGCATCATCAGTCAGCAGTTCACAGAGCCAGAGCCTGACCCAGAGCCACAGGGTCAGCACAGCATCCAGAGTGAGTCTGTGTTTCCAGCTCATGTTAGCAGTATGAAGTCTCTGGGTGAGAGATGATGCTGGTGGCCAGCCCTGGCTGCTGTGTCAGTTTTCCTGGGCTTTTGCATCAGGGTGGTGTGGGATGCCCTGGACATGTGTTTCCCCTGTGGCCACATGGTGTGGGGGCTGGCAGCAGTGATCCAGGCTGCTGGAGCTCGTGGTGCTCTCAGGAGCTGTCACTGCCAGCTCTGAACCATCCCCTGTTCCTGGCCCAGTGCTTGGACCCAGGCTGTGACATGGAGAGCCAGTGCAGGGGTAGGTGTGTCAAGGCTGCAGTGGGACCATCACTCCTGCTCCCAACCCTGTGGGCTGCTGGAAAAGCCTGTGAGGGCCCATGACTGACTGTGCCAAAGCAGCACAGCGTGGAGAGGGAGCAGGCAGAGCCTGGCTCCATGGGTAACATGATAAGGAAGGCGAGCAGGCAGCACCAGGGAGCTGCAGCACCCAGCTGTGCCCGCAGGAGAGGGGCTGCAGGGCTGGCAGCACCACAGGGAGGTGAGCAGAGAGGCCAGGAGCAAGTCCTGGGTGAATCACAGCTAATTTAAAATGCATCCAGGTCATCCCGAGGCTGGGCTGTCGTTGAACCGGTCTGGGTCGCTGAGGAATGTGGCTGCAGAGCCTCTCCCCCCGCCGGGTGCAGGGAGCTGTGCACACACACAGGTGTGCTCCTGGCAGTGGGCTCCGCAGCAGCCAGCCCCGCCACAGCAGGGCAAAAAGCAAAGGCTGCAGCTGGGCTCCCCTCTGTGCCATCACACCGGTGGGTGAAGCCATCCCTGCAGGGCAGCCTGGCTGGGACAATGGCACTGACCCTCCTTGGCTGGGCCCAGGCTCATGGGAAGGGCAGGGGAAGGCGTGGGACATTGCCAGGGCCACCGTGGGGCTCATCCTTGGCGTGCTGGACCTGCCTGGCCCAGCCACTCTGCGCCCCTTGGAGAGGAGCTGTGTGCTGAAATAGCTGTGGGAAAGCCTCCGCCACCCTTCCCCGAGCTAAAAATATGCCAAGACTGTGTGTGCAGGGAGATATTTATAAACCAGGAGCCCTGGCAGGCTGGCTTGGCTAGGGAGAAATCCCATGTCCCCTGGGCTTGGGGACATCCCTAGCAGCCCTGCAGCTGGAGCAGGGTCCGGATGCTGGTGGGGGACACTGTGCAGAATGTGCTGACCATGGAGCATCCAGATGTGGGCTCCCCCATGGAAAGAGATGGGGAGAAACCAGAGAGGAACCAGGGGCTGCTCCCCAGAACCTGGTGGATGAGGCCAAGAGTGATGGGCTGGAGCTGAGCCCCCAGAGCAGCCCCAGGCCACAGTCCAGAAGGAGGGAATCAAACCCTGTATGAAGGTGCCTGATGGTGGAATAAGAGACATGGGCACAAATCACAGTCTGGGGTATTCAGGGGCCCTGAGCATACTGTAGCCCTGGGATGAATTTCCAGGATGTGGGGAGTCTCTGTCCTTGGGAATGGCAGAGTTCTGCAGGACACAGTGGTGGCTATCACCAACCCATGCCAGCGATAGCCCTGCTCTGGTGGGGCAGAGGACTATGGTGCTGTCTCCTGGGGCTGGACTTGCCCTAAGGGAGCTGGTTACCACCACAGCACACTTGTGTGGGGGGTCCTCTCTCCACAAACCCAAACTGGGGCATGGCTGCAGCTCCCAGGCCATCAGGGCTGGCAGCTCTAGTGTTAAACTGCAGAGTTTGGCTTAAAGTGTGATTAAGGCTGAATCACTGCCTCGATCCCACTAATCCTGGCCTGTGTGCCTGTGTACGCTGGGTAATCCCAGGAGATGGGCCCCAGCGGAGACAGGCTGCAGGGAAAGCCAGGCTGATGATCTGGGGAGGAAAAGCCGGTGGGACCTGTGAGCAGGGCCCTTCTGCTGAGCACCTGGGGCCAAGGGCACGCGCTCACGTCCCCGGAGCCGCAGTGCCTGACCCGTGTCCTCCCTCGCTCCCTGCAGCCGAGTCTGACGCCAGCGTCTTCGCCTCCAACTCCTTGCAGCGGAAGAAGAAAGGGCTGCTGCGCCCAGCACACTACAGGGCCAAGCCTCACCTCCTCATCGGGATGCCCCAGGACTTCCGCCAGATCTCCTCCATCATCGACGTGGACATCCTGCCCGAGACGCACCGGCGCGTGCGGCTGCACAAGCACGGCTCCGACAAACCGCTGGGCTTCTACATCCGCGATGGCGTCAGCGTGCGCGTGGCCCCGCAGGGCGTCGAGAAGGTGCCCGGCATCTTCATCTCCCGCCTGGTGAAGGGCGGCTTGGCTGAGAGCACGGGGCTGCTGGCGGTCAGCGACGAGATCCTGGAGGTGAACGGCATCGATGTGGCCGGCAAGTCCCTGGACCAAGTGACGGACATGATGGTGGCCAACAGCCACAACCTCATCATCACCGTCAAGCCGGCCAACCAGCGCAACAACGTCATCCGCAGCAGCAAGGCCTCGGGCAGCTCCGGCATGTCCACGGACAGCACCCCCAGCCAGCAGACCCCCAGCCCGGCCTCGCAGTACCTGAGCAACTACAGCACGGCCGAGAGCGACGAGGAGGGCGACCTGGTCATCGAGAGCGACAGCGCGTCCCACTACATGCCCGGGGGCTGCCCCAACGGGGGCCCCGCGGACGGACCCCTGCAGCGGAGCCTGTCCCCGCACAGCTCGCGGGGCTCCCTGCAGTCCCTTGGCAGCCACGACGGCAGCCCTGGCAGGGGCAGCGGACGGGAGGATGGCACCCTCCTCACCCTATAGCCGCAGGGGCCACTGCCACTCGGTGGCTGGCCGGGTTCCCGCTGATCTGGGCTGGATGTGGACACCAGGGTGATGATGTGGCCGGCAGCCAGGGGTGGAGAGGGGCTGCCCGCTGCCTTCTCCCCCCGCCCGTGACCCCCAGAGCCCCAGTGTGGGACCCACTCAAGCCAGGCACTGCCCCTCTGAGCGCCCTTGCCTCCTCTTCCAAGCAAGCGGGGGTTTTTAATTGTTTTATTGAAATATGCATCATTAATATATTGCAATGGACAGTAAAACTTTTTCTAGAAAGCGCCGTGCTTGTCCCTGGTTCATGTCACTGAAGGGAGGAGGGGGACACTGGGTGGGTACCCCAGCCCTGTGCACAGAAGGCAGTGCCTGGGGGCTGTGCCCTTGATCTTTGCTGCTGTGCTAGGTGACCCCACTGAGATTCGTTGTGGCTGTTGCAGGACACAGGTCCAGGCTGTTTTGGGCAGCTGCCTAGCCTGATGCAGCCAGCCTTGCTTGGTCCTGCCATTCCCACCTTGTCCCTGCTGCAGGGACACTCACTAATGCAGGGGACACCTGGTCAGGCAGCAGCACCTTGGCTGTCACTCAGCCCTGCAAATGCTGCTGGGGATAGTGCAGCCCCATCCTCCTTCTTCAGCCCCAAGCTCAGGGCAGGGGGGTCCACACCTGCCCCTGCTGCTCTGCTGGGGCTCCCAGCACCCTCAGTCCCTCTCCCAAAAGTGCCAAGCTGATGGTGGCACTCACTGCTGCCAAGGGCTTGTGGTGGGACCTGCAGCTCTCAGGGTCTGAAAAGCCAGCACAACTCTCCATTCAGAGCCTCAGGCCAGGGCAGGCTGGGAGTGCAGCAAGGGCTGAGGACACTCGTGGCACACAGCCAGGACTCAGCTAGAGCAGAGAGCAGATCTGGCAGCAGGGCTGGTTAGCCCAGGCTGGTTTTGGGCAGGGAGGTGCCCAGGGGCTGTGCCCATGGCCCCCAGTCACTCTCACCCAGCCGGCTCAGCCTGGCTGTGGGGTTTGCCCTGAGGTGGCCCCAGGGGCACATGAGGTGATTTTCCAGCTGGCATCTCACCTCCTCCAGCCCTCGAGTGCCAAAATACTCCCCACGCCTTGGCAGCAGCGTCAGCCCTGACATCCCAGGGCACTGCAGTGTGCCAGGTGGCACAGGCAGGGCTAGGATACTCCACAATATCCCCACCCCACAAAATCCTGCCCAAGATGGAGCAACCCCTGCAAAAAGGCAGCTGCTTGGGGGATCCACACACAGCATCCCCACCCTGTGTAGCAAATGGGAATGGAACAACAGCACAAGCTGCAAGAAGGGAAAACCTGATGGGATTTCAGGGGAAAAAGTATTCCCCCTGAGGCCAGCACTGTCTGGAAACAGAGCCCCAGCAAGGTGATGGGGGCAAGCCCCTCCCTGGAGATTCTCCTAATTCAGTTGGATGTGGCTCCAAGCTGTGGCACCGTGCCCCTGCTGAGCAGGAGATGCACCAAGCCCTCCAGCCATCCCTTACAGCTTCTTCATGCAGCAAGATCCCTGCAAAGGTCTGCACAGGCTCCTGCATGGCAGCTGAAGGTAAGGCAGCAGTGAGCTCACCTATGTGATGGTCCTGCCAGCCCTGTCCTGCCAGCCTGTGGATGGAGATCCAGCAGGATTTTGCACATTCTCCAGTCCATGTCCCAGCACCCAGTGAAACCCACGGCTCATCCCCTGCCTGCACTGTGCCAGTGCTGATGCTTTCTGCTGCCCACACCATTCCTCAGGCCCTGCTGGGCCCACTGCAAGCTGCACACACACTGCAGGATGCAAATGATGATTTATTGGAGTATCTCCTGCCCCACCAACAACAAAGGCTTCTCCAGACATCCGACCAGACCCTCCTGACAGCTCAGCACTTCCCTGGGCAGAAAACACTGAAGCTCTGTGCCTCTTTCGTGTCCCCAAGCTGTTCCTTGAGCTCTCCGGTGCTCAGGATGAGCCATGACCACAGTCCAGCTCAGGAGAAAGAGAATCACACGGAATACCACAGGCAGCAGCACAAGAGACCTCCTACCAGTTTCTAGAAGTAGGAAAAAGGGGAAAGTAAGAGGTGATGTCACAGATCCAGAGCAGAGAGCTGATCTGTGAGAAGTCAAGCAGCAGAGACAACTGCTCTCCAGACCACTGAGCAGGGCCTTTATTAGGGCATCTCCCTCCCTTTTCTGTGGACAAAACACAGCACTGAAAGGTGAGCAAGAGATGCCAGCTGTGTACTGGACACTGTTACTGGCACCTGCATGGGCCCAGGGTCTGGAATGTGGCTTCCTCTCCTCTCCCAAAAAGTGATGTCCATTCCTGCCCAGCAACAAAGGATGTTCAGGCAGAGCAGCACAGCACACCTGGCCCCACCAGCTCAGGAGTCCAACTTGATGAAGACTTTTGGCCTTGAGAAAATTTTGATTGCCTCGTCTATCTGGGAGAGCTTCCTCTCGAGCTCCACCCGCCTCTTTTGCATCCTGAGGCTGTCTCCACGCATTGGCAGCAGAACCAGGTCCTTTATCAGCTGCTCCTGGCCTGTAAAAAGAGAGAAAAAAAAAAGTTGTGTAAGTTGAAAAGCAAAGAAATCCACCCTTTTTCTAGTGCTATGAACACAATGGAAGCACTGGAACAAGTACCTAAAATCCTTCTATTTAAAGCTCAGCTGGATATAAGACCTGAGGGACCTGCACCAGCTTTGAGAACCAAGGATTGGACTAGAGACCTCTGAAGGTCTCTTCCAGCCAACATCTTTCTAAGATTTTAGGAGCAATAGCAACCCTGACATCAAGTCCCCTGGACAAGTGTGCTCCAGAGAGCCAGTCCTGTAACCTGCAGCACTGATTCCTCTTTCCACGCACACAGCTCACATCCTGCCTATATATGCCTCAATCCAGGCAACTCTCCAAGTGGCAGGAATGTGTCCCTGTGTCTCTTCTCCCTCACCCTGCCTAGGACTGTTTGTTTTTCTGAGCTGGACTGGCTGGTTTTTTGCTCTTACTCTGTTTCAGGTTGCTGAGGGTCTCCAGGCGCTGCCCCTCGGGCATCATGGTGTGCCCGGGCGGCGTGTCGGGGTCCGGCAGGTTTCGCAGCCGCTCCTCCGTCTGCTTGCGCCACAGCTCCTTCCTCTCCAGCAGGCTGCAGGCAAAGAGAGCACGTGTCAGCACATCTGGCACAGGCAGAGGCCAGGAATGTGCCCTTCAAACCCTGCAGGGTTCCGTGTCACTGGATGAGGACCCCAGGGAGCCATGTGCTGGCACACATGATCATGGTGGGGGACACACCGTGTTTAAACCACATATGTGGACCAGCAAATGTGCTCCACATGCACAAAGGGCTGCTGGGGGAGATGCACTCAGGCCAGCACGTGCTCCTTGGAGACAAGGGCTGCTGCTCCTCCATTCTGGCTCACTGAGTCCTTGCCAAACCATCTGTGGGTCAATGGCAGAATGAAGTCAGACAGCAGCTCACGGCCAGGGATGCTGGCAGAGCACAGCACAGCCAAAGGACTGACACCACAGTCAGCCCTAGGACAGGGTCTGTTTCCCATGCAGAACCTCAAAATGCACGGCACTAGCTGGATGCTCCCCAGAACCCAGGCCCAAGGCAGGATGAACACTTGTGAGGCAGAGCGAGCTCTGTGCCTCTCCAAAACCAGACCTTTTCATGCCAAACCTACATCACATGGAACAAAGCCTACAAAGGGGCAGGTCAAGGCACACAGAGCTTCCCCACATCAGCATCATGGTACAACAGCAAGCAAAGGAGGAGGAGACAAAACTCCCTCAGAGCCCTGTTACACTTGGTTAAGCCAAGAAAGCAGGAGGGACAGCGTTGACTCCCCAGTGACAGAAACCGCCACTGCTGCACATCAAGAGCACCTCCGTGCCCAGCCCATCCCTCCAGGCACAAACCAGGGCGTGCATCAAGGCTGTGACAGTCTGGTGGAGCAGAGAGGGGCACACATACTACTGGGGGACGTGGCCCTTCTGCCTGGCGTTGTAGTGCTCCTGCTGGCGGTGCCGCTGCTGCCGCAGCTCGGCCAGCGCCTGCAGGGACTGCGAGCGGCGCAGCGGGGCCCGCCGCGCAGCGCACGCGTTGTGCCTGATGAAGTCAACGCTCCTGCCCTCCGCCTGCACCTGCAAAAAGACACAGAGAGGCATCAGGGGCAGGCTGGGCATGTGCTGCCACTGTCCACGCGAGGGGAAAAGCGAGAATGCGCCACACGAGATGATGAACTGTATGACAGCAGGACAGGCAGAACCTCAGCACAGCCTGTGTCAGTGTGCAGCCACAGACAGGCAGGAGCTGTGGCCATGGTTTGGGAAGGCAGGCACCTAAAGCCAAGCCTGATCCTGGCCTCTTTAAGGTCTTCAAGATGACCACAGGCCTTAAAAGCCAAAAGGACAGAAAAACCCAGGCTTGACGTAGTCCCCATGGCTCCTGCTGGAGCGTTTTGAGGGCAGAGATAAAACAGGTTGGGTGCTCACCAGGCCAAGAAACTCAACAGAACCCCTGGCAGAGCAGGAACTTTGCTGATCCTTGGGGCACTTGCCCAGAGACAGCACCTCCACCACAGCTACTCTGCTGGACAAAACAGTGGAGAAGGTGGCTGTGTTTGCATTTAAGATTTCCCTGATCTTCCTTCTTTGTAGATGATGTCCCGTTTAATTAAGTCATTCATGGCATTTAGGAACCAACAAACTGACAATCTCACTATTGCCAAGGGAAAAGGACATGAGTCATGGAGCTGTTTAGGACCTCCCAAACAGACTACTTGAAAGGTTTAAATACTAATGCTGATTTAACTCTCCTTACTAAAACACACACTCATTTCCCAAATTTTTATCTAACATCCGGAAGCCACAGTTCCTTTGATTACAGTGGGAACAGCCTCCAAAACCCCAAGACCTCCTGCAAAGCCATTGGAAGAGCAGATTTGAGACTGCTGGCATGAGGAGGTGGAATTTTCACAGTGAACTTCATGATCTCCTTAACTGTGAGTGAGGATGAAGCTAGAATTAACAGTCCCTGAATATCCATCTCACCACCCCAGTGAGCAGGACCCTGCTCCTGCCTTTCAGCCAGAACAGTATTTACAGATCTCCCTACTCAAGCAGCACATCTGACCCAACACTTCAGAAGAATGCATTTTCCATGACAGAAATCCCTGGGATGGATGCAGTTAGTGTGTAACTCACCTTGGTTTCAGCACCCTGTGCCTCTGGAGCCTCTGTGTCTGCTCCTGCTCCTGCCCTGACAGGCCTTGGGGACAGTGGTCTGCATGGCTTGATCCCAGAGCCACAGCGGGAATACGCCCTCAGGAAATTCACAGCCTCGGGATTGGGAGGTGGAGAGGTCTCCTGGGAAAGGCAAGAAAAGATCCACCAGTGGAGGGAGGCTGGGGCAAAGAAAAACCCTCTCAACCAAGTTTGGGTGGTCAAGCACGAGCTCAGCCCCACAGGTTTCCAGCAGGCACAGGACAGCACAAGCTTTCTGCCACAGCCT